CAATGAGATACCACCTCACACCAGTCAGAATGGCTAAAATTAACAAGTCAGGAGATGACAGATGCTGGCGAGGATGTGGAGAAAGGGGAACCCTCCTACACTGTTGGTGGGAATGCAGGCTGGTGCAGCCACTCTGGAAAACAGCATGGAGGTTCCTCAAAATGTTGAAAATAGAGCTACCCTATGACCCAGCAATTGCACTGCTGGGTATTTACCCTAAAGATACAAACGTAGTGATCCAAAGGGGCACGTGCACCCGAATGTTTATAGCAGCAATGTCTACAATAGCCAAACTATGGAAAGAACCTAGATGTCCATCAACAGACGAATGGATAAAGAAGATGTGGTATATATACACAATGGAATACTATGCAGCCATCAAAAGAAATGAAATCTTGCCTTTTGCGACGACATGGATGGAACTAGAGGGTATCATGCTTAGCGAAATAAGTCAATCGGAGAAAGACAACTATCATATGATCTCCCTGATATGAGGGAGAGGAGATGCAACATGGGGGGTTAAGGGGGTAGGAGAAGAGTAAATGAAACAAGATGGGATTGGGAGGGAGACAAACCATAAGTGACTCTTAATCTCACAAAACAAACTGAGGGTTAATGGGGGGGTGTGGGGGGGTGGGATTATGGACATTGGGGAGGGTATGTGCTATGGTGAGTGCTGTGAAGTGTGTAAACCTGGCGATACACAGACCTGTACCCCTGGGGATAAAAAGATATTATATGTTTATGAAAAATAAAATTTAAAAAAAAAAAAAATTAAAAAAAAAATTAACTTTCCCAAGTACTCAGAGACGCCACTACTTACGCTGTTGCATACTGCAGCACCTTCTGAGGAGGGCAGCCCCTAGGCACCTTATCTCTAACGGCAGTGTCCTTTAATGCTTACTTTAAGTAAGGCACAGAGCAGCTCTGTCTGGTGAAAAAGGTTGTTTACTCTGCCCACGCACACACACACACACAGATATATGTTTATGTGTGTATATATGCATATATGTACACATACAAATATATACATATACACACATAATATACATATTTATACACACACACACACTACATACATACAGACACACAGACAGACACACACTATGGTAAATATTTTAATTCCATCTCCCTTCAATCCAATCACCCATGACAAGAACACAGAAACGCCCGAGGGTTTGCGGGCTGGCATCATAGCTACCCTCAACATAAGCAAGGATTACAAAAAGGCAAGATGGCAGACAAGAGTGACTTCTGGTCCTTAAAGATGCATTATCATTAAACTCTAGTACCAAAAGACTGTAAATAAGAGTAAGGTTATCGACCTAAATCAGAAGTTTTTACTTTCCCCCTGAGCATAAAGTCTATAACCACTTCTGACCTTATTGTGTTCCCTAATCTGAATAAGCTCTTTGGTGAAAATCAATGTACAAATAAGGGCATTCTTCTGAAGATAATGCTATGTGTTCACATTCCTGCAAATGGAACATTCTAAGCATATCTCTGAGTAAGTTGTATAAGAAGACAGAGAGAAACTTGAAAAATCTTCCCCAAGAAGTCATTTTGGGGGTGGGGCTCCTGGGTGGCTCAGTAGGTTCAGCCTCTGCCTTCGGCTCAGATCATGGTCTCAGGGTCCTGGGATCAAGCCTTGCATCGGGTTCTCTGCTCAGCGGGGAGCCTACTTCCCCCTCTCTCTCTGCCTGCCTCTCTGCCTACTTGTGATCTCTCTCTCTGTGTCAAATAAATAAATAAATAATCCTTAAAAATAAAAGAAGATATTTTTGGGGGGAATATATATATATATTTACATATTTTATATATATTTATATAGAGATATATATCTGAACTTAAATGAAGCATTTAAGTTTTCTTAATATTCTAGTCTAATACTAATATTATTTTTCAAAGGAAATGCATATAAATAATACTATCAAAATAAATATCATACACAAGGAATATTTAGACAAATTAAGAAAAGATGGCCAAAAAAATTCTATTAAAGACTGTTCACAGTGACATTATGGAACTCTGAAATATCTAAAAGAACATTATATAGAAACTTATTTAAAATCACTCTTCCTTAATCTCCCACCAAATTCTTCTACTACTTTGCTGAAACTTTCCCTACTCCGTTCATAGTAACAAAGCCCAAAAGAAGTTTAAGTTATCCATGTCATGGGTCTTCACTTTAGGTAGCTAAAATTTGTATTTTGTGCAATTTGTTGTTACAGCTAAACAGTATTTCATTTTTTAACCATGGGCCAATGGTAGCTCCAACATTCAAGATACTCCAAGTTATACTTATTTTTTTAAAGGTTTTACTTATTTATTTGAGAGAGACAGAGAGAGCAAGAGAGAGAGAGAGAGAGCATGAGCAGGGGGACGGGCAGAGGGAGAGGGAGAATCAGTCTCCCCGCTGAGCAGGGAGTGGGAAACAGGGGTCAATCCCAGGACACTAGGATGATGACCCAAGCCAAAGGCAGACGTTTAACTGACTGAGCCACCCAGGACCTCCACTCCAAATTACACTCTTAATATATCCCAAATTGCAGCCTAAAATATCTATAACCACTCCTAACAACCACTTTTAATCATAAATACTTCATATTAAAAAATGAGTCAGTGCATCTACAACTTTAGTCATTCCTGAATGATAAAACTATTAAGAACAAGTCCCTGAACCAAACCCCCTAGTGAAAACACTGATATGAAACAAATTCTGCTCTCGGGAAAATTTTTCAGCCCTAAACAAATTTTATCATATGATCTCTCCGATATGAGGAATTTGAGAGGCAGAGTGGGGGGCTGTGGCGGGAAGGGAAGGAAAAAATGAAACAAGATGGGACTGGGAAGGGAGACAAACCATAAGAGACTCTTAATCTCAGGAAATAAACTGAGGATTGCTGGGGGGTGGGAGGTAGGGATGGGGTGGCTGGGTGATGGACATTGGGGAGGGTATGTGCTATGGTGAGTGCTGTGAATTATGTAATACTCATGATTCATAGGCCTCTACCCCTGAAGCAAATAATATATTATATGTTAGTTAAAAATAAACAAACAATCAAAACAAACAAACCACAAAAGCAATCAGAATTTGGGACATAACTTCTCTGGTCTCTATGTGGAGAAACTGTCTTTATTTAAAAGATCCTAGGAAAAGAACCAGGGACTATCCAAGCAAACGTCTCTAAAACATACCATTTAAGTCGTTACCTCCGTCTACATCTAAGAGTTTAGGGAGACAATATTCATGTTAATGTATTTATTAAATGCCTGCTATATTCCAAGAAACTGTGCTTAGCACAATAAAATAATGAAGCCTGCATGGATCTTGTGGTTTAATCAAGAAGACAAGACATGCATATTAATTAGCGCATAGAACACTATATGTTAACTCAATGGTATAAAATGTCAGAGAGTTTGGAAGTTGAGGGTAAAGTTCATGCTGGGAAGATTAGGGAGCTTTTATAAATAAAAGTGTCACTTGAGCTATTAACTTTCAAAAAGGTGTGGAAGTGGAAAAGTAGACTCTCTAGAACCAAAGAGTCACTTGGCTAAAGCCTGCGATATTCAAAAGTGAGGAGGGAAGGAAAACCCTACTTAAGAAGAAAGTCTGAGAAGTACTGGTGAGGAAACCATTGTTACCTCTCAGCATCAGTGAAGACCTAGGAAAAATACTGACTTTTCAAAAAAAATGACTTCGACTTCAGGGAGAATAAGAGGAACTGCCTTCATTACCCCTCGCCACATCCACTGTCATTATTTTTAAATCAGGGTAATAGGATTATTTCAATGATTGAAGATGATAGCCAGAGTTTCTAACTCCCAAGATGCCTTCCTTACCTACCAGAAGCACAACCCAGGTGATTACCTGCATCTGAGCTGGAAGCCCACCAAGGACAGACACACGTTTCTCAACCTCCTCAATACAATTCAACGTGTTATCTCCAACACCACTCTCCATACAAAGTCAAGGGCAAAATGCAACTTATTTAAATTTAATGAGAATTTAATACCCAATACTATGTATTGTTTGTTAATGCTAAACCTTTCTATTTTCACATACTTTCAATAATTTGTGAAGTGACACCTAAGCTTGATGGTAAGTCTTAAGATTAAGGTTATCTTGAATGAGTTTCTTCTAGATAAAACCACCCTGTAAGAATGCATTACCCAATACGTTGCTTATTCTTTTGTTCTACACACACTCTCTTTCTCTTTCTCCCCCCAAAGGTCAAATCAGCTTAGATTTCTAAAACAGGACTCCTGATAACAAACGGGCAGTTGAAGGTGAAAGGTAGAACAAGACCAAGCATACAACTCATGTAACTTTCCACTTCAAAATAAAATGGAAAATTACACCTGGCTTTATTCCATTTTTCCAATTTTTATGCAGGTATTAAAAATATCATTCTCCTAAATCACATTTTCACTTCTTGCTAGGTTAAAGTTTAATTTTACATTTCTATTAAACTTATCCACATTTTTAATACATTAATGAAATCCTTCAAAGAACTAAAAAATCCTACTAGTTTTACAGATACCTAAGAGAGTATGACTTTAAGAGTACTTAGTAACTTCTGCAAAAGCAAATTCAGAGAAGCAGCTTTAAAAAGGAAGGAATAATTTGAAGAGGAAAGGAAAGAATTTTCTTATAGGCCATTGGTGTGCTTTGTAAGTTGGACTAAACAAAATTAATATAACCAACAACTGTTCCTCTGGGAACGGCTTTTTTTTTTTTTTAAGAAAACTTATTAAATAAGTAACAACAGAAAAAAAAATCACTCTAAATTTCAAGAGTCACTTGACTGGGACTGTGGAATTCATTGATACTAAAATATTATTAGATAAACTTTATCACCTTTGGCATATTTAATTGATAACTGAGTGACGAATGAAGTATTTTGTCAAAGAAAAAATCAAGAAGTATACATGCAACAGAGAGTATCAATGACCGAAGAAGAAAAGGAACGCCTGCTCTTTCATTTGCTGTGTCGTACCTGCCATGAACAGTAGTCGATTTGATAATATCCCCAGGTAGCACCACTGAGAGTTCAATGTCTTTATCTATTGTGTTTTCTTTCTGTTCCATGATGCAAGTAGAGGATTCTACAGTATCATCAACTGGAGAGGCATCGAGATATCTGGTCTCAGCTGGAGGAAGTGGTGCCTTGGCTTTTGCTTTTCTCCTTAAATAAAACAAAACACAGAAAATAAAATATTTCTATTTTTAAAGTAACTTTCTAATATGATCTAACTTAATAAAAACACAATGTGCATGTGTGTTTTTCACATCTAGGTAAAAAATGCACCAAAATGTTTACTGCTTATTAGAGATGTTGGAATTAAGGGATTCTTGTTTGTTTGTTTTTGCCTTCTTTAACTGGCATTTTCTTTTGCTTTCAACAATATGACTACATTATCTGGTAATAAAAACATGATAACAAATAACTTTGATATTCACCTCCATTAAGTTCAACTAATGTGTTTTAAATATAGTGAAGAAAAAGTGTAATGCTTTTTTTGATGAGATAAATCATAAAAATCCTTACTATGTCAGGATGGAGATCAGCATCTCATTTCCACACCTCATAACAGCTCTTACCTATGTTTCTTTCATTCTGTTTCCAATCTAGTGTGTTCTGCCTCTCTATCCAGACAACCCCTACCTACTCTTTGAGGTCTAGCTGAAACCACCCTCCCCTAACCCCTCAACATTCAAAGTCTTTCCCTATATAGCATATACAACAGATTTCATAAATTTAACATTTTTTCCATTTTTTTCCTGGGTACCAGTTTCATCTCTCTGCCTACATTTATAACTCCCTACAAAAAAGAAGCATGCCATACTTCCCGTGGCACTTAGCGATGAACAATGAACTATGATTGGTTATTTGATGGAATATATTTCTGCTTCAGTGAAAAAAAATCTATAAATAATTACTCTAATAAATGTTTCAGTGTCACAAGGGCAACCTATTAACCTATTTATAACAGAAATAGGTAGTAGACATCCTGAAGAAATACACATGGGCCAATTCACTGACTTGATGGGTTGAAAAAATAAAACAAAAATAAATATAAAGTAACTACTAGTAATGACATATACCTAAGCTTTTGAAAATGTTACCTTTATGAAAAGCTAATTGCTTTTCGAAGAACAACTACTACTACTTTCCAGAAAAATATAAACTTTAATTCCTCCCTCTCCCCATTTCCTACACAAAGTAAAAAACCAAACAAGATAAAAGAGCTTCTTTGTAAGTAAATATGTAACATCCACCCATTTGTCATTTGCAAAATTTAAGGTTTCATAAATCCAAGTACCTCTCTGCATCTGATGGCATGGAAAGCAGAAACAAGCTTCCTACACTGTACATTAATTTTCTAAAATAATAAGCCTTCCATTTTTAAGATATAATTGGACAAATATAATGCACTTGAGAAAATATTTCTTTTACACTAGTGACAAAAGTGAATTTTTAAAAGTGTAACAATTAATACACTTATAAAATATCTATATAAAGAAAAACTTTATCCAGTTTCAAAACATTTTTAATCTGTAGAAATTAACTACTCATGGATTCAACAGACAATTACCTAACAGACAATTATGTGGCAGATTCACCTAAACACTGGGGATGTAAAAATGGTAAGACCCAGTTCCTACCCCAAAAGAGTTCGAACCTCCAACGGACTGATACATACAAAATGATGATAAAGTGTGATGATTGCCCTACTGTAGATACACAGATGATACAGCTACAGCTCATGGAAAGAGAAACTTTCTTAGGAACCCGGAAATGTATGACAGATGAGAAACACGAGAGGAGTTTAAGGGAATGAATAAAAACTCACAGGAAAAAACAAGAAATAATTGATATTTCAGGCACAGGACATCAAATGGAGACATGAAAGAAACTGCGACTTTACAGAATTGAACAGTTTCGTAAAAATGCACAGAAAAGTTAAAGGAGATAAGAAATCAGTGAATCAATTTTTTAAAAACATTGATAAATAAGAGAATTCATTAAAGCTGCTCAGTATATAAACACACTAAAGTCAATGGCCTATATAAACAAAAGCGAAACTAGTCAGAACATATAATGGGAAAAAAAAAAAACTTATTTTACAATAGCCACAAAAATGAATCTTAAAAATTGTTCTAATATGTATAACAAGAATTTTGAAAAATCTGTATGAAGAAAATTTTAAACGCCAAATATTCACCTTGGATCTCTCCCTTCAAACCCAGATTTATAAATCCAACGCCTGCCTGACATCTGGAGTCAGATGATTAACTGCAATCTCCAGCTTAATTTAACTTCGATTCCTCTTCCCAGCTCCTCCAAACCATACCCCTTTCTCTCCAAGTCTTCCCATCTCTGTAAATCACAATTCTTCCAGTTGCTTAAGCCAAAAAAGTCCCCTCACACACACGGTTGCCATCCAATCCATCGACAACTTCTGCCAGCTTTACGCGATAGACCTGGCTTCCACCGACAGCCCTGTTCACCGAACACCTCTCTGTTCAAGCTGCTAAGCAGTCTCCCAGCTCCCAGCATTGCCACTTTACATTCTCTTCTCAACAGCTGCTGGAGTGATCCTCTGAAATTGTTAAGTCAGATCCCCACACCTCCTCTCGTACCCTCCAATGACTTCTGACTTCACAAAGAATAAGATCTAGAGTTTTGTCCTCTTACCTCTGGTCTCTCCAATTTCCTTTCTACCTGCGCTCATGACCCTCCACTACTGTGTGTGACTCTTGCCCTTCCCTTGGACACACCTAGAATAATCCACCCTCTCCCCTTATTTTTTTTTTAACTCCTAGAACATTCCTGACAGAAGATCCTCACAGGATCTGCTCCTAACTTTAAAACTATTTGTTTTACGTTTTGCCTTAGGGCTTATCAGCAACTAACATACTTGTTTATCATGTCTCCTTCCATTAAAGATTAATTAATTACATGACAGTAGGGACCGCCCTGTGTCACACATATTTGAAAATGCATGGAATTTCTGGAACAATGTCTGCCTCATAGGAGACACGCATATTTACTGAATGAATGGATTTTTACCTCAGTGAGTACTTCCCACAAAACAAGAGTTACCTATGCATATAAAGTTCACCCCACCAAGGAAGAGAATGAATTTTTACATCAGAATTACCTGTTGGACTTTTAGACACTGATTATATCTTATTTTTAAGACAATGTGTACTGAAAAATACACATTGGATTCATTAGCAAGAAATAATTGGGAAACTTAAGGTGTTAAGAGTTTCATCAGGAAGGCTGAAGAGAAGCCACAGGCAGGGAGAGAAAGCAGCAGGGACAACTATGTCCTCAGTGGAGTTGGCTTCCAAGAGTGGCAGGACTGGGGTCTGACAGGCACCTTCTGCTGCTGCCATCCTCCTCCCAGCCCTGGCTTTCATCATGCCAGGCACTTTGTCATCTCCAAATGTGGCCCATCCTGGTCTCCATTTGAAAGCCACCCCCATCCTCTCTACCTTTACCATATTCTTTATCCTTTAAGGTCCAGACTGAGTCACCATTCCTTGGGACATCTTTCCTCTTCACTGCACACCACAGCAAATTCCGATTAACAGTTTTAATGTTCTATGTATGTGTGACTCTTATTTCTTAAAGTACTTGGAGTCTGTGATGAAAACTCAAATTACTAAAGATAAGGCTACTTAAAAAGAGAAATGGAGAGCAGAACAAAGCACTAATTGAAATATTATTTTACATGGAACTTCTATTATGAACATCCTAATGTTCCCTATTATTCAAATAACAAAGTATTTGTCACCTTTGGTGGTGATAATTGGAAAGCATATTGGTCATCAGACCAAGATCTTTCTATGGTGAACTAGCAATCCAACCAGGATAGATGCAATGTCTAAGTAATTAAATAATGAATACAAAGGAAAAATTAAGTGTCATAAAACATGAGTAATTTAAAAATTCAGAGCAATGAGAGCATCTTGAAGCTAGCTTTGGGGGAGTGGGAAGGTATACTTCAAAGAGAAGAGATATGTGACTCAGTTCTTGAAAGAAAAGTAGACTTTATGCAGGCAGAACCTGTAGGATCATTTATGTGTTGGTTCTCTATTGTGATCCATTTGCATTAGGTTTGGCAATGTGTCTGCAAATTAAAGTTTGCTTACCACACAACGTAATCCCTCCAGGAGAATACTGCGCAGAGGTCTGGATTTGGTCTGAATCCCGAGAAGCTTATAGATTTTGTTAACAGTTTTGTTTTGTTTTTTTTAAAGATTTTATTTATTTGACAGACAGAGTTCACAAGTAGGCAGAGAGAGTAGAGGAAGCAGGCTCCATGCTGAGCAGAGAGCAGGATGCTGGGCTCAATCCCAGGACCCTGGGATCCATAACCTGAGCCAAAGGCAGAGGCTTTAACCCACTCAGCCACCCAGGCACCCCCCCTCCAGCAAAATTTTTAAAATACCTTTTACCACCTCACATTTTTTCCAACCTTTTGAATTTCTTGATTGAGATGCTCTGAAGCAGTAACAAAATTAAATGTCACCCAAAGCCAAAGATATAGTGAAAATAATCAAAATTTATAGTGTAATCCAGGCGTAGGAAATTCTGGTAATACAAAAAAACAAAAACAAAAACAAGAAACCCACACCAATCAGCGTGCAATAACAATTATAATTTACTGCTTAAGAATACTAATTTTCATTAATATTTTAAAATCACAGTAAATGTCATTGAAGTCTCCCCATCCCCTTTATTTTTAAAAAACTTTATTTACTTGAGAGAGAGCAGGAGCAGGGTGGGAAGGGGCGGGGGGCAGTGCCCATGGAGAAGAAGCAGACTTCCTGTTGAAGGAATGGATTGACACTGGGCTCAAATCCATGGACCCTGAGCCTGAAATCATGACTGAGCCCGAGGCAGATGCTTACCCACCTGGGCCACCCAGGTACCCCCCACCCACCCATCCCCTTCCTTTTAAATAGAATATTTGAGCCAGTTTTCCTACCCAGGGGATTTTCACATAAGCTCTTCACCAGTGGCCTAGTTTGACTATCAGTTTTCACTGTATAGAGGTGTTACCATAACAGAAAACAATAGCAAATTTCACACAAGAGTGATGGAGGGGAAGTTATACTGAAAAGATACAGAAAACTCCTCTAGGTCTGGACAAATATGCACTA